GAGTCCGTGCTTCTGGCCAATCAGCGTGAGGCAGTCGAAACTTTGCAATCGCCAGGGTTGCATTTTGGGGTGTTATAAGCTTATTAAGTTTGAGTTTTTTGTCGTCGTTGTTGTTGTTGTTGTTGGCCAGGGAACAGATATTTCGCATGGTAGACACATAAAATTGTTCTTTGATTCCGGGCACGTTTATCTGTTTAAGCGGAATTATTGTCCAAATGGCATTCAAGTGGCACGGCATACATATATGCTTAAGAATGGAATGCGCAGGACAAGTGTACGGCTTGATTGGGAGGTGAGAGTACAGGGATAAGATAGGATACAGAGCAGCTGCAATTTGTTTGACATGAGGATGATTCGCTGATTTTCTCGAGCAGCGTCTAAGTCTAATTAATGAAGTGCGGCAGCCAAACAAAGACTCAGCGTATACGGCAGCAGCAGCAAAAAGAACAAAATAAATAAAAAAGAATTTGTCAACCAGCATAATTTTTAAGCATTAGCAAAGGCGCCGAATGCAAATGCAAATATTTGCATTGTCTAGGATTCGGGCGAAACAACTCCATTAAAAAGTGAGTCCGCTGCACGAGTATCTGCTGCATATCTTAGGGCGCACATATCAAACAACGCAGTAGACAGGGGTGTCAAAATATGCGAGATTCACGTACCACGTACCAGGACCTCTATTCGGTATTGCTGCACACCCTGCTCACCCCTCATCCTGGGTGCTTGCGATGCGCCTTTCCTGCGCGCCCAAAAGCAGCTTGTTTGTTGTCCTTTTCCCCGTGTCTGTTGCTGCCCCTGCTCCTGCCCCTGCTCCTGCCGACAGCCGACTGCCAAATCATCATCGGCGGCGACCTCACTAAGGCTACCCATGATAAACAAATTGTTTTGCCTCTCCCAACTCGGCGTTGTTTTCATTGCCAGCGCTGCTCGTTTTGTGCAGCTGTATAAACAAATTAGTTTTCAATTTTATCAAGTTGTTGCCTAGTGGCAACCAATTGAGGATAACAGCTAAAAAGCAGGGCCCGACTAAATGAAGACTTTCATATCAAATATCTATATTTCGAACCGACTTAAATATTATTTAAGCCAAGTGTTATATTATAACTTGCTAAGACAAATTAAAACCTATTCAAAATTGTTTTAAAATCTCTTAAGATAAGATAGAAATAAAGTTATAATATCAATGATTTCATACTTGAATCAAATATAACATGATTCAAGCATAAAGATCTTATTTCATGTATAACTTTTAAGTGAAATAACTTTCAGTTTTTATTTGTTTTGTTTTCCAGTCTAATTGAGCTCAATACCCAAATGATCTTAATGTTTTTCTTGCAAAAAAGCTAATATAGTTTTAAATAAAGCCCAATTTGCTCTTAAAACATTCCCAGCTTAAGCGGGATGATATAAAGTTTGTACAAAAGGTAGTACAGAGTCAAAGGACGAAACAAGCTAGCCATGTTTTAGTATCCGTTTTGTCAAGAAATGGTAGACTGAAAAAGAAATCTCCTACCATAATTAGTATAGTTCTGATCAGCTTAGGCGATATATCCATTTGTTTGTCATATCTCTGTTATCATAATAATTATTTTCTCAGTCCTAAAACTAAATTAAACGATCCGTCTTATTGCTGCTTACAGTAACAAAAAAAACATTTATATCTTGCTAACTTGCTCGAATTATTGTTATTAATTATAAAAATTCCATATTGTCCAGCACCTGCCAAGTTTTCCCTAACTCTTACTATACAATTAAAGCTCCAGTAAATTAAGTACTGTCGCACTCTGGTAAATATCAAGCTGCGAATTATGTACACGTCATATAGCACAATCAAGCGTAACCGCCTCTATGCCGACTTACCCTATCTAATGCCAATGCCCCGGACCCTATATCATTACACGCAATTGCCCGGCGAAGGGGGTTGCCCCGCAACCTCAATGCATTGTCATTTTGCACAACGATTTTCAATTCGTTTTTTATTCGAGTTCTAATTAAAAACCCAAATGTATTGTTGAGGTAGACAAGCAATCAGGGTCGGGGCGAAATGCTCCGAAATGCTTATCACACTGATGCCTTGATCCCCGTCCCCGTCCACGTCCATCCACAGTGTTGACACTGAGCATTAAGGCTGGCGAAATCCTCTTGAGTGCACGCCTGGGCGAGCACTCGGTAACGCAATGTGTGTAAATTTTAATCTCATTTGAAAAGTTTTACTTTATTTTTTTCAAAGTGCTTATGTAAAGTGCAAAAATTGAAATCAACAATGGGCTTTATAAAGGGTTGGGTTGGGATAAGTAGAAACGATTCATAGCATTGCAGTCGTCAGTTGGTACCTTTTTGAAAGCCACATAGATATATGCCCCAAAAATAGCTTTAAATTTGTGCAACTAATGCTTAAACCGTCTAGAAATTCATTTTTATTCTTAATCAAATCAAAATGTGCAAAACGAATAACGTTGTTTTAAATAAAAATAAAAGAAGCGCGCATTCATAAAATGAAAACAACAAAAAGCCGCCATAAAGTGAGGGAAAGAACAGATACTGTTAACTCATTGTGCTATTTAACATAGAATAAATTTTAAAAATAAAATAATTTGCAAAATGTAAACCATCGCTGTTAAACGTACGTTGCTTAAGTACTCAAAAGTGAATGTCTATCCCAGTGGCGTCGGTGGTGTAATGGTTAGCATAGTTGCCTTCCAAGCAGTTGACCCGGGTTCGATTCCCGGCCGACGCACAACGAAACTTTTTGCCGCAACCATTCTTTTTGTATATTTTTGGAAACAATTTGTTGTTCTTACAATTTGTACATAGCTTGTTGACTAAATTGATGCTCTGGTCCAATACGCTCATCAAAGCGTTTGCCATTAAATTCAAACTCATTGAAAGGTACTGTGCTCAGCACCGTAAAACCCACACCATTGCCAATTTTTTGGGTGTATACGGAGGTCCAGAGTGCAGTGACCGCCGCAGGACGTTTATCCTGCAATTCCTTTGCCACATCCTGAAAGCCACGACCCTGCCAAAGCTCACGTGTCATTTGAATGGTGGATTCGACAAGAGCACGACCAAGTCCGAGGCGCCGAAAATCCGGCAGAGTGGCCAAAAACATAAGCTCACATACGCAATCCAGGTTGTATTCGGCGCACACGTCGACCTTCGAGTCCATCGTAATCATATAATCCATCAGACACTTCGCCTGGGGACTTTTCACTTGCTCATTGTAGAACTTAACAAAGAAATTATCCTCGCCAGGTGGAGGAGCGAACTAGAATTTAAGTACAAATTTATAAATAGGCTGGATAACGTTGTTGACCATATGCAACTTGCCTGCAACTTGTTAAAGGAAACGGCAACAATCCGACAACTTTCCACGTGTCTCATAATTAAGGAAACTCCATCCTGTGCAGTGATTCGGCATAACTCCCGCAACTCTTGACGCGCTTGCGCATTTTGCGGCAAATTTATTTCACAGGCGATGCAAACTGATTCATTGATAAAAAACGAGTCGTCCAACACCTAAAATTTGGTATAAATCAGAAAATCTTCACTGTTATTTAACTGATTATGCGTACTTAATATTACAAAAAAAAAAAATAAAAGTCACTATATAAGAAAAAGGCAAAAAGCAACCTGCGTCGGCCGGGAATCGAACCCGGGTCAACTGCTTGGAAGGCAACTATGCTAACCATTACACCACCGACGCCACGGAGCTCTCGGCGCACCAAGTCGCTTTTGATATGCTCTCAGAGCATCGTACAGCATTGCTAATTTTAAGCTTTAATAAAATGTGCGAACATATTTGTATGGCTTGTCAAGTTTTTTCGCATAAATAATTATGTATTAATGTAGATGAATTTCGGCATGTACATATTTGTGATATACTTTTATTTTATACATACATTTAGAGCTTGCTCCAAATCCTCTCTAGCTAGACTGCACACTTCATATTTGCCTATTTTAGAAAAAATAAAAAAATTTAAAAAAGCGAATATTTGAAATGTTCTAAGTTGTTTTGAAAAAATATATAATCCATGTTTAAAATCAGTCATTATATAATAAGCACGACATGTGCTAATACATATATAGAGCTCTGGTATAAAATAAAAATATTTAATATAAATAATATACACATGTTAGGGTTCATTAAAATATTTATCAATATATCTAGCTTTTTTACTTTCTACCGACATACTTAACAGAAGTCCTTCATAGAGTATCAATGTTCATAGAACTAGTAACAATTGACAATTAGATATGTAGAAAGCTATTGCAAATATTATATAAACACAGGCTTATTTTGAAAACACATTAACTACACGCACCTTCGTGCAAAGTTGACCAAAGTTTGCCGTTCTGGGCTCGCATTTTGACGCTTATCTCGCTGAACGGAATAGAAACAACTAATGCCTCCCAAAGTTTGATTGTAACTAAGCTATAAAGAATTTGATAACTCTAACGGAGAGCTAGCACCGGTTTTATTACACTATGCTAGCAAAATGGACTTATCATTTTGGCCATATGCTATCGATAAGCTATTCAGTTGTATCATCTGGATTTTTTAATGAAACTTTAATAAAGTGCAAATTTAAGACTGAATAAGATTATATTTTTGAACAGATTATACGAGCATCTTAAAGATGGTAGACGTTCGTAAACAAATAAGATGACACGAAGACGCAGACACATATGTATGTATATTATATATTTGTTATTATCTTGTATTGAGCTCGGATTTTTTAAAAATAAATGCAACATATAACAAGTTTGGCAACTCACAATAATCATTAAAAGTTTCTTTGAGGGCATTACAGTGCCTATTGCAAATAAAAATTAAGAGTTCAAGTTGATTTAGTTAAATATTAATTTGAAGCTTATATCAATTTATAAGTTCGCGATCAGCTGATTTGTGTTTTTACATGGTTGGATTGCTAAAAATATATATTTGGATTGAAACAGCTGAGACAATTACACACCTTTACAACACTAGCGCAGATCTTACAAAGAAAAACAAAGAGTTTCGCTGTTATTCTAGTTTTATTGTTGCAATCAGCTGTTAAATAAAAGTTCTATATACGCGCATTCACAACCCGTAACCTCTGGCCACGCTGTCCATTTTTTTCTCTTGTGAATAACAAACGCGACGCCATGGCAACGCTGCGCTAAACAAATGTTAAACATTCGATTTGCACGAACATTTTTTATCGCAAAATGTTTATACTGGACAAAATTCTGCCGTTTATCTTTAGCTACATACGACCGTTTATTAAGTGGTTCCTACATGTGTTTACCCGCCTCTCCGAGCTCCAGCGAATATGCTACGGGGCAAAATCGGGTACGCCGAGATGCCGCCAAATCGAGCGCTCCCTTTTACAGTCGAATCAGCCGGAGATAAAGACCATGTTACGAGAACTGGACGAGGCAGCGCCCTATGCTAGTGACAGAGAGTTGCTTTACTTTGGTGAGTCAGCGTTAAATTGCATTTAATTCGTATATTCGACAATGGAAGTTGCCTTTACAGCTCCCCGCGCCGTTAAAACTGTTTCCCATGTGAAACGAATTAAGAGTACTGTGCATCCGGATTTCGGAAGGCTCTTTGGCAATTGCGTTACCACCATTTGGGGATATAAACGTCTAATGCATCAGGTGGAGCAGCTGCGTGCCGAGCCATATGACTCGGAGAACCTGGAGCACGAGCAGAAGCTATTGCAGCTGTGGCAGCTATTGATGCCCGAGACGCCGCTGACAGGTCGCATATCCAAGCAGTGGCAGGACATTGGCTTCCAGGGGGACGATCCGAAAACGGACTTTCGTGGCATGGGCATGTTGGGCCTTGAAAATCTCTTGTACTTTGCCAGTGCCTACAATGACGCCGCAAAGCATGTGCTGCTGCACTCGATGCATCCCACAGTGGGTTACACCTATGCCATTGTTGGCATCAATCTCACCGCCCTAGCATTCAACTTACTGCGCACGGGTGCGGCCAAGACGCACTTTTACAATCAGGTGGCGCTGCATAAGCAAAACTTCAGCACGCTCGAGGATTTCCATAAATTGTATTGCTACCTGTTCTTTGAATTCGATCGCTTCTGGATGGACAGCTCGCCGCGGAACATAATGGACTTCCGAGAGGTTTACCAGGCCTTCGAGATAACCAAACTCGAAGCGCTGCACAATGAAAACACAATTTTTAAAACGAATCTGGTCGTGGAGTCCGTCTAATTGCTCACATTGCCCAGTTGTAATTAAAATTCCATAGATATTTGTATAAATGCAGCTTTTTATGCGTTTATTTGAGAGCTATATTATGTATGTATGTATATTTAATATGTATATATTTGTATGCAAGTATTTAAATCGTTAATTAGCTGCAAAATGCAAACTGCAATTAAATGTAATTTTTAATAAAAAAGGACGCATAATACTTAGAAATGAAGATCATGATTGCACATAGGAGACAATGAATTCTATAAAAATAATTAAATATCACGCAAAAGCATTAAAAAAAAAAAAATAATTGCACAAAACTAACATAGAAAATTATAAAATAAACGAGACAAATTCTTAAATAGTTCGCAGTGAGCTAATCTTTTGAGTATCCTATCAATTTTATGATGTACTTATATGTTAATGTGGAATGCACAAGTCAAATCGAATTGGAGCATCGTCCTGGTCGCAAGCTAGTTGAATATCAATATATCATAATAACGTGGTGCGATGCGCCCAACTGGTTGTTCTAGCGATAGAACTTGACCTCGGCCTCAACGCAATCCTTGAGCAGCTCGTCCAGCTCATCGCTGGCATGGTCCTGGAGCGAAAAGTAGTTGTTCAATTCATCGACACAGGAGCGTTCCAAGCTCCGTAAGTGCTCCAGTGCAGCCGGTTTACGATTGGCATGCAGACTGTGCAGCAGCGTCTGCTCGGCGTCAGCCTGCACCTGGGTCAGGGGCGAAATACGCGGCTTGGGCGCAAATACAAACGGCTTGAACACAGACTCGGCGGCATTTGGCGTGCCAGTAAACCAGTGGCACGAAATTGAGCTGCCCTTGCTGCTGAGCATTGAAACGTTTGCCGCACGTGACCCAGTACCGCTCGCCACGCGCAGCGTTTCGAACATATCTTGCTGCGTGTAACTGCCATCGGCGTCGGGTTTCGGACCGCACCAATCAGCTTCAGGCGCCTGCGCCTCCGCATCATGGGCAGCTGCAAAGTTAGCGGCCAGATCCAAGCCATCACTGGACTTGTCAATGGTTGTGGTTACGGTTAGTCCACCGCTGGGCACACGCAGCCAGCTGGCTTGCAGTTTCTCGGCGGCCCAGACTTTGCCGGCGCTGCTCAATATCCAGGCAGCCGTCGGATCACACACTATAAAGTTCAGCTTGGCGCTGTCGTTGCTGTGCTTGGCTACCAAAGCCCCAATGCGGTCAACGGCCGCCTCCACATTGTTGGACTCGGCCAGCGTTATGCTGTAAAGGACATTTGAATTAACATAAACATGCTTATATAATTTAATGGCGGGATGACCTACCGCACAATGTCCGTGCCCAGCAAGCTGTCGCTGTCTGCCGCCTGCTGCTCCCCATCGCTCCATGTCAAGCTCACGACCACGCCTCGTTCGTTGGCCCCAAAGTCGCCGCCCCAAAGGGCCGGCTTCGGTTTTTGCAATATAACACGCAGAGCATCGCCCGACGGCTCTAAAGCAGCGCCGCCATCAGTCTGACAAGTGGCAAGTGTTCACTATGAGTCATTCAGGTATGTCTGGCTGTTGGCTTACCTTCCCCTCCAGAACGTCGCTGACATCATAGTAGCAGACTTCCGTTGACACGCCTAAACCGCCTACGGCTGCTGCGTCCTCGGCATTGCGACCGAAAATTAGAGAGCCAGACGCACAGTTACCGGGTAGCACAATAAAACAGTCGGCATTGGAGGACATTTTTCTTATAGTTTAAATAAAATATGTGCACAGACACAGACGGATTTGCAAAATTGATTTTTCGCAACAGCTGTTGCAACACAGTCTGTTGATGCTAATTGGTGTCAACAGAATTCTGTTAGTTGACAGCTGATTTTGCTTGAAGTTGGCTGCGAGCGCAAAATTGCGTTTACTGCGCTGCTAACGATATTTCATATATCGATTTCTGGAATTCATCGATTGATTTTCTTGTTCTTGCAATATTACCATTGCGAGTCACGGTCGCAGTGGTCTAAAAACGTTGTAAAAGTTGCAAGTCGGCTGAAAACGCTATAACTTATAAAGTTTTAATGTAGCTTCGGGCAGCTACGAAGTGTTATTTAAAGCGGTTTATCTAGTAAAAGTATCGCAGGCTGAAACGTCGTCGAAGAATTGCATTTGTATACAGCAGTCAGTGTGCAGGTGTTGTTGTCTCATTCGGGCGTAACATCGAGTTGGGTTGCAGTGCGAGCGAAACAACAACAAACAAGTTACAAGGTAAATACTCGTGCATACTGTTGTTGTTGTTGTTGTTTTTGTTGCTGCTGCTGGTGGATGTTCAGCGCCTTTTTTGTGTGTTGATTATTTTACTTGCGTGCTCTGTAACTCGTGGGCGGCTGAATCGTCAGTGTCCGGTGTTTGCGGCTAAAGAAAAACTAGGTAAATCCTTGGCAACTTCGAAATTGAACGCAAAATCAAGAAGAAAATCTTTCGAACGAGTTTGCAAATTGGAAAGCAAAGTGACAAATAAAGTGGCTGGTAAAGAAAATCAATATTCACATTGTGTCCGGTTTTCCAATAAGAATATATAGTGCGCTCACGAAAACAACAAACGCGAATCAAAAGAATTTCAGCTTAAACGCTGACGGTGGGCCTGCTACCGCTCCCTAAACAGAGATTTCTTTTATTCCTTCTTGGCTTAGCTTATTTGTGTGCGTACGTGTGTGAGTGTGCGTGTGCCGCTTCGCGTTGCTTGACCACTTTGACCGCGCGCATTTTCATGTTGTTTTTGGACTGAAACTAGTTTTCGTTGTTTTTTTGTTGCTGATCTTGTTGTTGTTTTTGTCTTGGGTTTAATTTTCACCCTGCCAGTGAATGTGATGACGTTTTAAAGTGCTCATGTCTAGTTAATTTAAATGTAATAGCAGAAAATCAATAATTTGAAGCTTCGGGTATACACATTTTTGTGGAAAACTGGTTGAAATCCAATTGTGTGGCATGCTTTAAGTGTGAAAGCGGAACACAAACCACCCTCGCAATCGCTGCCTGCTCCAACTCCAGCGCAGCCCAGCCCAGCCCCTTCAAAGCATCTTTCTTCAAGTGATGAAAATATATACATATAAAATATATACACATAAAGTGCCGTTACATTCCTCCCCCAATGCGCCCCCTTATGCGGCATTTCGCGTTATATACACACACGTTCAAACATGTATATACACTGTTATATACATCTAATCTTTGTGTGTATCTGTCTGCGTGTAGGCGTTCTCGTCGAAAGTGCATTGCTCTGCCGCTACCCCTGCCCCAACATCATATTGTAAACATTACAAAAGCTGCGTGCGGGGCGGCCTCGTTTAATGCGTGTGTGTGTGTGTGTGACCGTGTGTATATGTGTTTAGCTCTTTTATTTACACTTACCGTATAAATGTTGGTCCCGTAGCAGTTGGCAACACGCGCATCGGTGCCGCTACCTTTTCGGCAGTTGGCAACGCGTTGACCCAATAACGGTACAACGAGACACCCGCATACATAAGCACACACACAGACTAAGCATGAATGAAAGCCAGCATGGCACTCGGCGGCTGTCGGCATTATGTTTGTGACGTCGTTGTTGTTGTTGTTGCTGCTGCTGCAGTAGCTACAAAATCTCAGCAGATGCGACCCACATATGCATGTGCATAATTTTTGTGCTAATTAAACAAAATATGATACTGTACCGTGGCGCAAGAACAACACTAAGTGAATTTTCAAATGAAAACAATAGCTGTGTAGAATTAAAACTATGTTTTATTTTTGTCGGTGAATTTGTTTACATCAAGACAAACAGAAAAGAAAAAAAACCAGCATTTTATTTTGTGGCCACCGTCAAGTTCAATGAACCAACCAAACAGTGGAATGCTCATCCGTTCGAATGCCCGTGTGTGTGTGAGAGTGAGTGTATTTGTGTGATCGGTGCACGTAACCGAAATTTGTTGGTATTTTTATGGGATTCGATTATTGTGCCATTAGTCGGCGATGTTGATATGTTTATCGCCATAATTTGTGCGCCCCAAATCAAAATCAAATACAACAACAATTGTTGAACGAAGTGCGTTGGCGGCACCAACAAAATATACCTTGACATTGAGAGCTTATATGTGTACGTGTGTGCGTGCACGTTTATGTGTTTTGCAAACAGAACCTACTTTAGTATGTGTGAATTGTACGGTTATGCTGTCTCGCTCTTGCTCACAGTGTATTTGCGTTGAGTATTATTTAATAAATAAACCGGCCCGGCCTGCCTCTTGTCATTGTTTTCGTTGTTGCTATTATTATTATTATTGTTTATGCATGCGCCAATGACCTTGCATATGACACCTGCAATGCAACCGGCCACTGCAAATATCGATAACACAATTAGTCGATACATCGATTGAAGGACTTTTGTTTTTGTGACAACTGTGGAACTTGCCTAAAAGCAATTAAGCTTAATTGTTTAGCTAATATACATTTTCATCATATATATATCCCTTTATTTATTTTAGCTTTGTACGCTCTCTAAGGTTAGTTGACTGCTTGCACGTGTCAATTGACCAAATATTATCATTTTCCGGTAAGTATCGTCACGCACTGAAATTTTTAGATACAAAAATTCGGCCTGTCATTCTATATTTTACTGTTTTTGTTAATGGATTTAGAAGCTTATACTGATATGAGACAAATAATAGCCGTAATTTAAATTTGCTTACTAGAGGGAGAGTGTCTGGCGATATAGCCTGGTCGAACCTAATCAAAGTCGATCTCAGAGTTAAATAGTTTCTTAAATTTATTTCTATTTGTGTTTTTCTGTTTCTATTTTAGACTTTTTCCGTTCACCAACTAAAACATTTCAAACAGAAAAATAATAAATAAAATTAGCGTCCCGAGTATGAGCATCATGTAACCATAAAATACACATTAGTATATGCATATAAAATAACAATTTTGGGCAAGTAATTAGAGAAATATCTTAAATGTATGCAAAAATACATTTATATTTGTGATAACCCGATCTAGTTAAATAAAAGTATATAAACTTATAAATTTTCATTATTTTATTATGGAGCAACAATATTTCGAAATTTCAATCTCTTGCTTTTTTATAATATCAAGATAACAAAGAAACGTTTATTAAAATAATTGTGTCTTATAGCATATTATCTTAAAAACAATCAAATACAATAAAGAACATCGATTAGTATTCATTTTAATGGATCTATAGGCTCATAATTATAGGAACCCAATATACCAAAAAATATTAATGAAAAATATGTGACTTCTACTAAAAACATGTTTCCTACTTAGTTTTTATAGGTACGGGGTATTAGAAGTATAAGGCATAAATGTAGATATAGTCAATTGTGTACCAGATAGACTTGTTTCTTGTTGATCGCCTAATGATCCAAAAGTCGATTGTTGTTTTAATTATTTTCTTTGCTTTTGCAGTGGGTATTTGTAAACAGACGCAATTCCTTCATCACTAAATGCAAAACTGGAGTTGTTAGACTCCAGCAGCAACGACGACACCATTCAGTCCACCAACTTGAATAGAAAATTAATCAAAATTAAAAAATTTAAGCTGGACGATATGAAGGAAATGGTGGGCGGATGTTGCGTTTGTTCCGACGAGCGGGGGTGGCCGGAGAACCCGCTCGTCTACTGTGACGGCCAAAACTGTACCGTTGCCGTGCATCAGGCATGCTATGGCATCGTTACCGTGCCGACTGGACCCTGGTATTGTCGGAAATGCGAGTCCCAGGAGCGCACCTCGCGTGTACGCTGTGAGATTTGCCCCTCACGAGATGGCGCCCTCAAGAAGACAGACACCAGCGGCTGGGCACATGTTGTGTGCGCCCTGTACATACCCGAGATTCGATTCGGCAACGTGACCACCATGGAGCCCATTATACTGACTTTAATACCGCAAGAACGCTACTCCAAGAGTGAGTCATATTTGCAGTTGCAGCCGTTGCATTCACTAACTGTTTTCTATATCACTTACAGCCTGCTACATTTGCTTGGAAATTGGAAAGCCAAATCGTGCCAATGTCGGAGCCTGCATGCAGTGCAATAAAGCCAATTGCAAGCAGCAGTTCCATGTCACCTGCGCCCAGAGCTTGGGCCTGCTCTGCGAGGAGGCTGGCAACTATCTGGACAATGTTAAGTACTGCGGCTACTGCCAGCATCACTACAGTAAATTGGTGAGTATGTCTTTATGTATGCTTTATTATACACTCATGCCTTGTCATATATATTGCAGAAAAAGGGCGGAAACGTCAAAACTATTCCACCCTACAAACCCGTACAACATGACACCTCCTCCGATTCGTGCTCGTCGCCCGAGAAGGAAATCGATTCAACCATGAACTCAGCCTCCATCTCAGCGACAAGCATCAAAATAACCAGCAGCACATTAGCCGCTAGCACCACGAGCCTATCAAGCAGTGGCAGCAATGTTTCATCCTCATCCAAGCAGCGCAAGTCAAACGCCTCCGGTAAATCATCGATGTCATCAGGTAGCAGCTCCACAGCAGCAACGGGCCTACCAAATTCCTCAAGCACCTCCAATGCAGGCGTTGCGGCAACTCCTTCTTCAACTGCAAGCAGTTTTCTGTCCGGCAGTAGCAGCAGCAACTCCGCCATCAATAACAATAATGCCATAAGCAACAGCTTAGCGGGTGGTGTCGGCGGCAACGTTGCGGCCACACATGCCCCAAACCCTAGCGGTGGCAGTGCCAGTGCCAGCGGCAGCGGCAACTCCACCACAGGCAACACCGTACCTGGAGCCGGCAGCGGCAACGGAAGCAGTGCAATAGGGCCCAGCAATTCAAGTACTAAATCATCAGCCACCAGCTCAAGCAGCAGCTATAAGGATAAGCATAGTAAGAGCTTGGGCAAACAGTCCGGCTCAGGTTCCAGCAAGGACAAGGAAAAGGATGGCGGTAGCAATTCATCGAACAACAGTTTCACACACTCATCAGCCTCTTCATCGTCCTCCTCATCATCGTCGTCGCGCGAAAAGTCCTCAAAGTCATCGAAAAACAAGGATATCGCGAAAGAAGCCACCGTCGCAGCCGCCAGCAGCAGCAGCAGCAGTATTGCCACAAGCAGCAGCAACATGCCCAGTGCCACCAGCATAACGGCCAGCAGCAGTTCCAGCTCTGCCGCACACGTATCTAGTAGCGGCGGTGGCAGCGGCGTGACTGCCGCCTCGATAAGTGAGCATAGTAATCATGCCCAGAACCTGAGCACGTCTGCTTTTACCAGTTCAGGGGCTGTCGGTGTCACGGGCAAACTGCAATTGGCAAGCAATTTGGGCGGAGGCTTTGGAGCTGAGCTGCAAGCCACAAGCAGCAGCAGCAACAGCAATGCCCTAAAGGAAACGTCTTCCTCCATGGCTGGCAACAGCAATGCAGGCAAATTGGAGGGTTTGTCGGGCGCTGGTACGTCCGCAAACAGCGTGGCCAATCCACTTGGACTCGGCGGCATCAGCTCCAATTCAAGCACTAATTTGAGCAGCAGCAGCAGCAAGACAGTTCCATCATCATCGATTGCAACAGCAACATCCACAACAACAAGCAGTCACAGTCAGCCGTCAACAGCGAGCAGCAGCTCCTCGGCGTCCAAAAAGCGCAAGGTGGACACTGCCAAATCGATCACCAGCATCAACCTGGACGATCACAATAGGTAATGGACGAATACGAATCAATAGATATACTATATTTAAAAATATGTCATTGTTGTTGCAGCTCATTTCGGAATATTATTAAGGATGTGCACGTGACACTGACGCCTCTGACGGACTTTGAGAAGGAAATCGAGAAGAGCTCCAAGCGGGTGAGTCAATTTCTAGTTTTGTTTATCTCCGGCTCTCTGCGAGCACGCCCTATAAATAGTACAATAAACAATTCAACAGCAGACAAGAGCACAGCTCTTGACTCAATTCGGCACTCTTAGAGTTCTCTTCAGCTGCCACATGCTCTCGCCTGGCTACAAAGTTGCCTTTTGAATAATAGTCTTCTAATCTTGTACACTTGTCTACAACTTGTCAAGTGCCAGCGCTGCTGCTGCTGCTCTCGGCCCCCACGCCCGACAATCGGTTGGAAAGGATGGGCTGTTTGGCCAAGACGATTCTATAACCATTTCACTCGTTCGCTTCGCGCAGTCGACGGCGCAGGCGCTTTGCCAACTTTCGTATCATATTTATAAGTAGAAATGCAATTATTAATGCATACACCTTTCTCAAAATATATAAATGAAACGTCTAGAAACACAAGGTGCGCATCTCGAAACATGTGCAATGTATGTTATGTAGGTGCGCATACCCCAAAGAAACGCTCGAGAATTTCGTGTTTTTCAATAATACCCTCTATATTTGTATGCCCCTGCAAAGGGTATTATCATTTTATAAATTCTGTGACGCATCTAACGTAATTTATATATATTCCCTGCCAGTATCATCAGTCCATACAACCAGGATCATGCGTCAGTCTGTATGCAATCTAGTCTCTCAGTTTAAATGCAGTCTCTCAGTTAAAAGTCAGCCGAAACAATCCACTGTATAAGGATGAAGTTAGTTATTGCAAAAGACCATAAAGCTTTTTGCTTTTAAGTTCTGACACATCATCAAAATCTTACATCGATATAGCTCTATACATATATTTTATGCTTTTCTATATCTTCATATCTTAACCAAACTGGGCATTTAGTAATTTCACTATGCTCCTTTTTTATGGAATAAAATCTTATTTACATCAAAGAGCTGTCATAGGACATTTTTATTTCCTTTTAAGCCATATAATATATCTTCTTCGTTCCGAAGATGCAGTTCGTTCTTTACTTTTTTTTTTTTAACATACGTTGCATGTGCAATATGCGAATTGATCTCCCCGGTTATTTCTTTATTATTTTCTGTTCTATTCCATATATTATACACATTCTGATGAAAATAACCAAGTCTACGCGTGATAAAAAATAATAATACACTAAATAAAACAAATTTGTTTCTACACATTTAACAATTTATATGCACTGGTATGCATATCAGTGTTATACTACTGTTATACTAACAAGAACATCGGCTTAACATAATATACAAATGTTAATTATGTTTACAACATTATACGAGCATAATTTTTAATTAAAAATCCAAGGCCATGAAATGGGTAAACAAAAATATGATATAAAGTTGTGAAAATTGAAGTAAAATACAGAACTACGTCTGGGAAGGTAAAATCTCTAGTTTGAGAGGCGATTTACATCGCTCAATAATTTCTGTAAAACCCATATGAAAATTTGAAAAAAATACTATTTGAAGTCTTTATTTTAAACGTTATGAAATGTTTAAATTTATTCCCAGCAAAATTAGAGTTTGAACTTGTTTGTTGCGTCTATTGCTTTAATTTTTGTATGCATTTAATTCGAATGGTTTTTTTTTGCAGATACAGGGTATTTTCTAATCAATGTTCGAACATGTTTTGATTTGCAGCAATTAGGGTATTTTTATTTTCGCTGTCTGTTTTCGATTCTATCAAGTATTTTCCATTTCTATTTTTCGATGTGATTGATGTACATTGACGTGTCCATGCCCCATTAATTTGCCTTTAATATCAAAAATATGCACGCCAAAACGATGCACATTCAGTTTTTAATTAAATGCAATGTGTTGGTTAATTTATGAACAACATACCCACAAAAAAATAATAAGTAAGAATGTCAAATCGATGTTTGCTCGACTCGGAGATGCCCTGTTGGCTGTTGATTCAAAATGTAAACCTTAGAGAGTGGAATATGTTTTTATTTGGTGGCTACAGGGTATTAAATGAATAATTACTGATGTTTTTTGAACATTTCTTGCCTTGTCATTTGGCTGCTGGAAAATTCGGCAATTCTGCGATGTTAAATTTTCGATCAAATTTACGACAATGATCGCATTGAAGACGTCTTATACTATGCAACATTTTGATTTGTTGGGCGTGTTTGGTTGCTGTTGTTGTTGTCTTTTGTTTTTCTTGGCTATATAGCCATCCCTATCGCTTGGCTGCGGCGACAAACATCTCGTTGTCATTGTCGCTATCGTTGTGCCGTGTGCAGACAAAAGTTGCTCAACGCCAGGGTATCGGGCCCCCAACAAAAAGTTGACAATTTTCTAGCCTGCTCAGTCGAAAATCGTTGCTAACCGAAGCCAAAAGGCTCTACTACAATTAAGAAAGAACATTTTTTGCGAATTTTTATTATTACGAACGAAAAGTAAATATATTCGAGACTCTCTCACACAGCTGCATACATCCAAATAACATATAAATATATAAAAACTTATATATATATATATATATATACGCATGTAGAAAAACTCGTGCTGTGCTCTGAAAATATCGGTTAAAGCTGCCACCAAAATCAAGCAGAACTGCATATGATGAAGTTTAATTATAGAAGCGCCGCACAAATTTGGCACACATTTTGACACCACCACAAAAAAAATAAAAATAAAAAGAATACCAAGAAATAAGGAAAATAAAGAGAATCACAATGTAGCTGGCTCCATTGGGGAAACATTTCCCACGAACTCGTATTTATAGATCTGTTTTTTAGTGAAAAAGCTTTCTGACTGGCGTGAAAAAGAAAACACACAAAAATCTGTGTAGAGGCTAGAGCTCTTCAGTAAAAAAATTCCGAAAAAAATGTGCGTAAAGTTTCCAGGACACTTCCACTATTGGAACTCTGGATATATATATCTAGATATATATCTCATATATATTTGTGCAAAAGACATTCAATCAGAAATGCTCCATGACCTTTACGTTAGAACCTGGCAGTATGTGTAAACAATCTAATGGAGATTCGCCTAGCATTCAATTAGCTAATCATGATAATGCATTTCTCATCTCCAATTGTTGAGCTGCACAAGCGTAGCAAGAATTTTCGCACTACATTTTCGCCCTGTTACCGCACATAAAAAAGAAAAACACAAAAAAAAAGAAAAACAGCAGCAAGAGAATCGCCCGAATGATGTGAAATAAAAAACTTTTCAACGCGCGTGTGTAAGTGTGTGTGTGCGACGTGTGTGTGTGTGTGTGTGTGTGTGTGTGTGTGTGTGTGTGTGTGTAGAACAAGTTGAAAAACCACAGACGCCGCTGCCTTGGCTGCTTTTGAGATACACGCACACACACACACACACACACACACACTGAGCTACGCACACAGTCATATTTCCATCCCACTCTCTGGCGAGATATTAGATGAAAATTGTTCCGCATCTAAAGTTTCTCAAATCAACTCAAAAACAAATCAAAAAAAAAAAAACTTATAAAACTGAACTGAAGACGGAGCAAAAAGCCAGCGCCGTGTGCCGTGTGCACTCACAATTCTATAGATTAGTTTGCGTTGAGCAATCTTCCAGTTCAGTACTCAGTTCCTCCGTGCGTGGTGTTTGTGTCCGATGTAGGTGCTGTTCCTTCACATATATCTATATATACTATATGCATATACATATATAGATAGCTAAAACGTGGTGGCTATTGATACGATATTGCATTTGCACTAACCCATCCAGCTAGCAAAAGTAAACATCTTCATTCCATAATTCAGCATGCATGCATACATTTTTTACCCACTGTATCGCAATCGCAAGACACGGACCGGGACAGTGACTCAGACTGATTGGAAAATATGGGTTTTGGTCATCGAGAAGCGTTCATATTTTTGTGTGTGTTCACCTGTGTTATTTTTATAAAAGTTTCTCTCGCTGCCAGAGACAGATACACATTTATTATTGCTCAAATTTGTTTGCAAGCAACAATACACGAATTTTTCCTATTCAAATAGAAATATTTCTGTTTTTCTTTTAGCCCATCATAGATAGATAGTGTGTGTGTGTGTGGATGTTGGGTAATTTTCTTTAAAAAAAGAAAAGATATTCATTAGCATACGCTATGAACGTTTCCATAATGATGATTATGACAGCTTCAAAGATTAGCTAAGAGCTTTTAAAAGACAAAACCAAAAGAATTGGTACTAAATTTCCAAGCACATTTAGATAAATACCTTGTTGTGATCATTTAAATACATAAAACAATCTATAAGATCAGACTCAAGAAGAAGATATATAGATTAAATACGATAAGATATTAGAGAATGGGATTTAGCACATGTACTAAAATATGACGAGAGCAAATAATTGTGTACACACTTTAGAACAGCTAAAGCAAATAGAGTCGAAAAAGAAAAGTAGACTAAAAAGTTATCCACTTGTCAGTTCTAACTAATATGTAAATGTAATTAAAGTATTCTTTATTTAATGAAATGTTCAAAGGCATACTAAGACTTTAGATCAGTTAACAGTATTGAGACTTACATGTGACGAACATTTAGAACGACACAGACATGTTGTTTTATTGTTTTACATGTACTAAAATATGTAAGAAGGCCAAATTTCAAGACTGTAGACTGCACATTAGCTCCTACATAGACTTTAAAGGAAAAAAAAATATTGATTGAAATTTGTGTTGGTACATGTACTAAAACGTATGTAAACAGCCTCGGCTACAGTTTATGCAGACTTTTAGATCAGTTAACAGCATTGAGACTTACATGGTACGAACATTTAGAACGACACAGACATATTGTTTTAACACTTTTCTTACATGTACTAAAATATATAACAGTTTTATATCAGAAGACTAAGAGACACATTAGCTAATACATGGACTTTAAAAAGGAAAATGAATATATTAAACAAAAATAAATGGCTTGAAATTTGTGTTTTGGTACATGTACTAAAAACGTAGAGTTAATGCCGACTTTTAGATCTGTTGCTTTTCGTCTCATGCAGCGCTTAAATCATCATCATCACCTCCACCAGAACTAGAACCGCCAACAAGAATAAAAACCACCAAAACCAACATCTCCATCAAATCCAGCATCGCCAGAGCTTTGCTTCAGTTTCGCTTTCCAGCTGCAAGGCCCGAGACAATGCTCGCACTGAACGTGTTATATTCTGCTCTCTGTTTGCACTTTCAGATAATAAGCATAATATACATAGATACAGATACGGTTAATTGTACCCCAGGTCGTGGTTAGAGCTCAATTTGATTGGAATTATATACATATATATATATATATATATCGCAACTCGAATAAACAAATACAGTCAGTCGCAAAATGCCCATTCAACCGATTGAATCCCCGAAATGCCCGCGCTGCAGCAAGAGCGTGTACGCCGCCGAGGAGCGACTGGCGGGCGGTTATGTATTCCACAAGAACTGCTTCAAGTGCTCCATGTGCAACAAATCCCTGGACTCGACCAATTGCGCAGAGCACGAGCGCGAGCTCTACTGCAAGGTATGCCACGGACGCAAATACGGACCCAAGGGCTACGGCTTTGGCACCGGCGCCGGCACACTCTCCATGGACAACGGTGCACAGTTCCAGAACGGCCATGATGTGGTGAGGAACGGCGCTCGTCTGGAGCCGCGCGCCATTGCCAGGGCGCCGGAGGGCGAGGGCTGCCCCAGATGCGGCGGCTATGTCTATGCCGCCGAACAGATGCTGGCCCGCGGACGCGGCTGGCACAAGGAGTGCTTCAAGTGCGGCACCTGCAAGAAGGGCCTGGACTCGATACTGTGCTGCGAGGCGCCCGACAAGAACATCTACTGCAAGGGCTGCTATGCCAAGCAGTTCGGACCCAAGGGCTACGGCTATGGCCAGGGCGGCGGCGCCCTCCAGTCCGATTGCGTTGCCAGCGACGAGGGTGCACCGCAGATGCGCGCCGCCATCGACGTGGGTAAGATTCAGGCGCGTCCCGGCGAGGGTTGTCCGCGCTGCGGCGGCGCCGTCTATGCCGCCGAGCAGAAGCTGTCCAAGGGCCGTGAGTGGCACAAGAAGTGCTTCAACTGCAAAGACTGCAAAAAGACGCTCGATTCGATCAATGCTACCGACGGTCCCGACGGCGATGTCTACTGCAGGACCTGCTACGGCAAGAAGTGGGGACCACATGGCTATGGCTTTGCCTGCGGCTCGGGTTTCCTGCAAACCGACGGCCTGACCGAGGATCAGATCAGCAACAGTCGCCCCTTCGTCAATCCGGACACCACCTCGATCAAGGCGCCCGAAGGCGAGGGCTGCCCACGCTGCGGCGGTGCCGTCTTTGCGGCCGAACAGCAGCTATCCAAGGGCAAGATGTGGCACAGAAAGTGCTACAACTGCACCGACTGCCATCGTCCACTGGACTCGATGCTGGCCTGCGATGGCCCCGATGGCGACATCTACTGCAAGGCCTGCTACGGCAAGCACTTTGGTCCCAAGGGCTTTGGCTACGGCCATGCGCCCACGCTCGTCTCCACCAGCGGCGAGACGACCATCCAGTTTCCCGACGGTGCTCCACTACATGGTCAGAAGACCTCCGGCGGCTGCCCGCGCTGCGGCTTTGCGGTCTTTGCCGCCGAACAGATGATCAGCAAGAGCCGCATCTGGCACAAGCGCTGCTTCTACTGCTCCGATTGCCGCAAATCTCTCGACTCGACGAATCTCAACGATGGACCCGACGGCGACATCTACTGCCGCTCCTGCTACAGCCGCAATTTCGGGCCCAAGGGCGTGGGCTATGGCCTCGGCGCGGGCGCTCTGACAACGTTCTAAATGCAAAAGAAACCCAGCCTCAACTTTATTCAAATTACCAGCAACAGCAGCAATCGTTCCGATCTTTTTATTTTCCGTTTTAAATCTTCTAGCTGTTACCCAGAAACTAATTAAACTTATCCACAACGCTAGCTAACTTAGTCTTCGGTTTTCCAACGATTTTTGATTGAACGAAATGCAGAAACTGCGAATGTTTTTGTCTTAGGTTATGTGAGAAATAAGCTTTATGAACAAACAAAAAAAAAAAAAACAGCAAAAACTAAACAAAAAAATCAATAAAAGAAACTTGAAAAAACCAACAACAAAAAAATGAAGTTCAAAAACTTACGAAAACCAAATCAAATAATACGAAATTAACTATCGAACGCCAACTAACGAAACAAGTACCGACAATGGCACAGGCAAAAAAAATAACCATAATATATAATAATAATAACAATAATATCATAAAACTAAAGAAACATAATAAAGATGAAGTAAATGCAGGCTAACATTGGGCACAGTTGCAGCTAACAGTTTGGAGGGGCAACTGTACCGCGGAGACCATCCATCAGAGGAGATATTTACATTTATGTTGCGAAAGAAAGTATCTAATATGCTCCAATATAAAACCAGAGAACTAATGTAGAGAGCTATTGCTCCCATGATGATTGATTATGATTATTATAAATGATAAATGATAAATGATAAATGATAAATGCTAAATGATAAATAATGATGATATATGTATGTATATTTAGCTTATTTAGTTTATATGTTAATAAGTACTTGCGAATTCTTTGATGATATGATATATTTCAAATATTCGTTTGTTTTTGTTTTCCTTTATTTTTTTGCTAATTCTAATTCATGAGCAATGTTCGGATTCATGCAAATACTTGGACTCGCTCTATATACAACACACATAACATCCAATAATATATGCCCCAGTGGGTTCCATGGAAACAAAACGAATCTTTCTGGAATTTTTGTGTTTTCTGACTTAACAATTAATATTATTTTTTCGATTTTTTATTGGCTTCGTCGGCATACCTGTATAATTTGATTTTCAGTGGGTGTTTTTCTGTGGGGTCCATATATACTAAGTATTTCACGTTTGTTTGCGATGCGAGATTGAGCCATCGCATTTGGTCTATATTTAGCGGCCGACCGATCGACCGACTTCGTGAAAATGGCTATACTTAAGCGTCGACGTGGCTATATGTATATATGCCTACATATATACTTATGTATTTATATATATATACTCTGTGTAGTCAGCTCTATGCGATTGCCCAAGCAAAAGCATACGAAATGTTCCATAACCGTATTCGAAACGATTTTCTAAATATAAATATGATGCTAATATGCTGAGAGAGAAAAGCTCCCTCTGCCTCTTTCGCTTTTCACTCAAGAGAGTTGATTTGTTTCGATAAGTTTGCCACGTGCTTATTCAGCTTTTCTCTCTTGAGCTTCTTCTTTAATGTAGTTTTTCTCAGCTATAGTATTGAAATTGGAATTCATGTCATGTCGCATTTTCGAAACTGAAAAGCACTTTGAACTAAACGAAATGGCGACGTTTGACTTTAAATGTCAGCGTCATCACCCGAAATTTTTTCAAAAATATTTACAATTCTTGCAATATTTACAATTCTCTAAATTCTGGCAAACGTTCCATATGCCGTATGACTGAATAAAAGTTGCTTAGCTAACTAATTGAGCCTACCAAAGCTTGATGTTGAACTAAAGAATTATAGAGTATTTGGAGTATTTAAGGCATTCGTCAAAGTATATATGATATGTTACCCAAGCTACTTTTTTGACAAACAGGTAACAGAAATACCACCCGAAAATTTCTCAAAAATATTGACAATACATTTAATGCCCTCTATTTCCTCTTACTAATTAATTCTGCCTTGATGTTTAATATTATAAGATAAATAAAATATATCTTTGTGAAGGATTTGTAATACTTAATCTAGAATCTTATTGTTGTCAAAAATGATCATATCGCTCAATATACCCTCTGGCAGGGTATAATAATTTTATTGTGAAATGTGTACCGCATACAATAAGACCCTATAGAGTGTATATATTTTAGATCAACAGTCGAGTTAGTATAGCCTATCTGTTTCTATGCGAACTAGTCTAGTCTCTCGGACTTAAAGCTATCGTCTTGAAACTTTGCACAGGTTCGTCTTTCTGTTGCAGTCAGTACATATATCGGAACCGACCAGATCGGACTACTATATCATATGGCTGCCATAGAAACGATCGGTCTAAAAGTAGATACTTGTATGAAAAACTTTTTTGTTTGTCAAAATATCTTACCAAAACTTACCATTTCGAAGTTTTTCCATGCTCCCTACATAATCGGTAATTTCTATCAACATCGGATAACTATATCATATAGCTGCCATAGGAATTATCGTTCAAAAATGAAGTAATTGTATGCAAAACTTTTTTGTTTTTTAAGATATCTTACCCCAAATTCGATATTTATTAGTTTTACCATACCCGCTATATGTCTGCAAAATCTTATCAACATCCGATCACTAAATCATATAGCTGCTATAGAAAGATAGGTGGATTAGTAGGATCTTATATGGAAAAATAATATGTTTTTAAAGATTTTCGAGCTGCTTTATTCTCAGGAGAAATGTCTACAAGGGTGTTAGCTCTTCGGCGTGCCGAAGAAATACTTACTTTCTTGTTTTATTTGTAAAGAGTTTTGCTGCGTTTTCTCTATTAGTTGATAAAAGTCCCAAAATTTTCTGAGCATTTCCAGTATAGGGTACACTATAATATAAATAAAATTAAATCTTTCCGACCATTAAAGCAAATATATCGTATTTATTTTGTTTTTACGTATTGGAAGCGGGTTTTTGTTGGTAATTAATTATAAGGAAATTAAATACAAGGAAAAATGTGTCACGTAGCGAACCGAAGAATATAATTGGGAAGAGACTCGGTTTTGTCGACCATTTAATAACTAAATAAATAATATTATGGCTCTTCTCAGCTGTATTTATTTAAATAACTATTTTTTCAGATTAGATAAGAACAAAATTGATTGGGAAACTTAGGAGCTTATTTTTGTCTCCATTTGTTTGCTTTTATTTAAGAAACATTTACGACAGCTCTCACAAGCTAAGTAAGGAAGTCATTTATTTGATGGGTTCTCTTTAAATTGAGGAAATATGTGATTTTTGCAAAATTATATATTAAATCTATATTCCAGACATAACCCGTCTAAATAGTTTAAATAACAACAGTTCAAGTTTGTGGTTTTTAAATTTATATTTAAAAGATCTTGTTATGCCAAATCAGATTAAAAATCTATTTTCAGCTGCGAAAACATGAAATATCCTTGTGAATATATTCCATATTTAATGCCAATTAGTACAATAAAACAAATAATATTTAAGGCTTTAGATATCCATTTTAAATGTTTTCAATGTTGCAAATACATTTTTAAAAGCGTTGCACTTTTTTGTGATAGGTCTTAAAATACCCTGTAAATTGAGTTAAATGCTAAATATTATAAATAGAGCATATCGTTATGAAGGATTTATCAAACGAAATCTAATATTTTTTTGTTGTCAAAATTAACTGTGCTCATTTTATTTTAAAACTCTTAAAATACTCTATAAAACAAGTTTGGTTAACCATTTGACATTTGTAATTAGTTTAAAAGTTACGTCGATTGCACCAATTCAATAGGGTATCTAAGAGTCGTGCATTGTGTGCTCTATTATACATTTATTAGATATTTGTATAGGGTATTAGAAGTTTGTCATGAAATGTGTAAAAGAAGACATCATAAATAACAATACGCCCTCGCTCAAGGCAATCTATTATAATAGAGCTAATATTTAGAGTAAAATTTCATTTTATTTGTTGGTCTGTTTCAGTCGTTTTCGACTGTCAAATTTGCCTGCGTAGGTTAAGTTAATGTCAAACCTATCGATAATTCCTTCCGTTTTCACGAAATCGATAAAAAAAAAATTAATTTTTAGATCAGTTACTTGGAGCATACCACTAAATCTTGGTATATAGGCTCTCGTTTAGAATATACATATATTCATATATATTTTATACCTCCGTCCATTCTACACAACATTGGATAGTTATCATTTGTAAAGGTAAAGTCTTGTGAATGTATCTTTTGTATGTTATATTTAAGAGCTCATCATTGTGTACAGGGTATCTCCAAGTCGGGGAATATACAACTTTTTCCTAGTTTACATAGTATTTGAAATAGCTAGAGCCTTTTGAATGTATCTTTTGTATACCATATTTATGAGCTCATCGTTGTGTACAGGGTATCACCAAGTCGGGGAATATACAACTTTTTCCTAGTTTACATAGTATTTGAAATGACGTTGGCAACGAAAAATAGTTGACGTTGCCATGCCAGGCGCCCGGCACACTCATCCGATGCCACATACCATATACAAATATACAACAAGCATATATATTATTTTCTTTAATTTTTTTCAATAACAAAAATAAATGAAATAAATTGTCTGAGGTCGTTTGTTAGCAGCCAGGTGTGTTTTCGATATGCTATTCACTCGTTGTTCGCGCTGCGATACGTAGCTATGCCATATTTTTAGACCTTCCTAGTCAGCGTCTATTTTTGAGTGAATCGTTTTTCAAAATTTTTGCACATATGACACATGCAAAACAGCTCTTAACATTTTCCGATTGATAAACAACGTCGCGCGGATGACTATGCTGACGAGCTCTAAATATAGTTCATATATTTCTATATATACATACATATATATATTTCTTTTTGGCTTTAATTAATCTTTAATATCTTGTGATCAGTGGCGCGAATGGATTTATGTGTTATTGAAATATGTGACTATCTGCATATTAAGGCGATCTTGATTATGAAATAAAGTATGGCATTAAAACATACGTGTGTGGGCGTATTAATGTCCAGGAACATATACCCCAAGGCAAAATAAAAGTAAATAAATGGTTAACAGATTGCCTTTTAAACTCATTTATAATTTGATTGATATGCTCCACATATATTTCATTCATTACATTCATCATTTTGATTACCTTCCACTTCCCACATATCGATTACATTTACGTGACTGTATTGCATTTAATGGCAAAAATATCGATTTCACATTAACAAATCTCTCAGCTATTACGGGGGGGGGAATTTTTGTATGCATTTGGGGCTGTTTTCAAGCTGGTCACATTGACTACAAATTATAAAGTCGAAATTGCAATTCATTTTTAACATGGAACAATAACCACATTTATTGTAAAGACAAACTACGGGGGGTTTGTCAGACTACACAAGTAACAAAGGGACCTTCTATTTTGGGCACGCCGAAGATTAAATACCCTTGCAGACAGATTGATTATAAGTATAAGCTCGTATGTGTCATATTTGTGTAAGATTAATGAAAAACTAAAAGAACTTTTATTCCACCGACTGTTACTTTGGCAGTTATATATTGATCCTATACGGTCGATAAAAAATTTAGATACACTGATCAAGAACATATACATATGTATATATACCTTATGTGATCGGAGATTCCTCTTCTATGCATTACACATTTCGCGACATGATTCGTATTGTTCTTGGCAAGTGTATCAAAAAGAGAATAATCATAATCGGAAGGACCTCATGCTGTGTTATTTACTGCACTGTGGTGTTGGTGGTGGTTGTGTCTCTATGCCCTCTGCCTACTGTGGGGTGGTTGGCGATAAGTTATAAATTTGTCACCCGTAACTGTATTCAATTATGAGCGCATGTCAAAATTGATATTGAACTATTGCACACGTGCTCTCGTATACTGTATACTGTATTTACTGCGTATAAGAGAAAATCGCACAAATTTTTTATGCTGTCGCAGCTTGACGTTTTATGACAGTGCCTCATAAAAATTGTTGTCCCGGTGGCTTAACTGATTCCCTCTCTAAGAAGTCATAAAAATTAAACATTTCGGCAAATATTTTTCCGAAAGCAATTAATTGTTTTGTACATCAGGAGGCTGAGTTACGCTAGACCTACAGTCAGGTTTACCCGCCAACAAAGTCGACACCTTTTTTTGGCTGCGGGTGTGCTTTACCGGCGGTCGTCCTTCCTGCATTTGACGTATTCATAGGCGCGACACGTGTCCCGTCTGAGTTTTATTGTCGTACAATTTACTTTTGTAACGCCAAACGTTACTCGTTTACCTTTTACATATTTACATAGTTTTCTAATGGCAGTAGAAGTCTGAAACTGTTATAAAGAATAGCTTAACAGATGTTGCATTTATAGATGTTAATTCTGTTTGGCATTTGCCAGTATCAGCTAATCTACTGCTGTATCTGTTAAATGGCTGTTAATTCATTTACAGTATGTTGACAGTAACTCTTGTCTTATGCGCTGTTCCCACCCACCCTCGTGGTGTGTGTGTGTGTGTGCGTTGTAAATATTTATTTGGCTGTTGACATTTTTAATAAAACTTGATCTTTGAAATATATTTGCCTAACCCTATACCCTTTATGCATTTATGTTTATCAATATAAGCCATAAGAAATGAGTTTATTCAGTGTCGTGTGCAAAGTTGAAACGTGGCCTGACCAAATATTTGCACGCATTATGCTCTGTTTGCTCCTTGATGTGCCTGTTGCCCTTTTTCAAGTTGAATGACCCAACCGAGCGGACCGAAAACCCAAATGCGACCAGCAGCATCAAGCACCTGTCTGGCCCGGGAGCAGGGCCTCTTGGTCTCTTACGGCTACTGTCTGATGCATATGCATTAATGGATATTACATGGTTCAAGCTTTAGAGTCTGTTAATTAAGCATGTCAAATTGCTGCTGTCGCTCTCGTCACAACGAACATTCTTTGTTGTCACAGAAACCACAGTAACAACAACGACAACAGTTGCATATTAAAATTAATTTTTCAGCTTTGTACTTTTATGACAATCCGGCGCCATTATTGTGCTCTTTGCCACCTTCTTTGATTTGATTACAAGCAAGCTAGCGGGCTGAGTGGGAGTGGGAGCGGGAGCGGGTAAGGAACATGGCCAACCGTTGACTATGCAACGGCAGTGTTTGTGCCGTTCCCATTTTCCAGTCGCTTTGCGTTGTTTGTTTTGTAAAACAGGCACGCTCAGCCGAGCTGCAGCTCCTCTCGCTGCTCTTCGTCGCCAGGTAAATGCCACTTAACGTTATTTTTTCTACCCCATGATTTTTCGGGCTTTGTATTTCCATTTATTTGCATCACAAATTATGCTACCTCTTGCTCTTCCGACCGACTCCAGCTGCAAATAATCTTCTTCTTTTTTATTTATTGGCAATTGCAAACGTCTGGTGGTCTGGTCGCAGGTTTGCGGGACTCCTCTGCTGCCACCTCATTCTCCTGTAAACATCGTCTTACAATTCAATTATTTTTCATTTTCCTGTTTTGTCTTCTTCAATCGTCGACGGCGCTGTCTGGCTCAGGCAGCAACAGCAACAACAACAACAACAGAATTAACCTGCATGCAGCACCCGCCCCCGTTGAAAGCATTGCATAAAGCACACGAAACACATACGCAGAAGCGAGCGCGAGAGCGAAGGAGAGAGCGCGAGCAGTCGTTACAAACATTGTTGTTGTCTGTTAGTATGTTGCAATGGGCTCTCTCTCTCTCTCTCTGGTCTATTTGCGCTCACGCGCAGCTTAAACTGTTCCCAAAAGATGTGAGCGGATAGGAACAGTTAATCATATAAAACATTTATAAATATTGAGCCCAATTAAACGAGCAAATAATTTTTAGTGCTTTTTCTATTATTTGTTATCTCCTCTTCTTACAATTTGTTTTGCTAAGCTTTTCGTCGTTTTCGCTTCCTGGTCATTTAAAGTTGGCTGTCTGCATTGATAACACTGTCGTCACTGTTGTTGCCGTATTATATTATTACAACATCAACAGCATTACGACATTCGCTGTGTATTAGAGCTTGCACTTGTGTTGGTGTATGCATTTGTATCTGTGTATTTGAGCGCTTGTGAAAGATTCACTTTTATACGTTCTCCTTTGTGGAGCGCTTCCCAGTCAACATTTTGTCCGATGAAAGGCATTTCAGATAAGAAATATTCTATATGGACACCTAATATGCTTACACTATAAAATATTTTAATGATCTTTACTTCTGTTATTTAAAATAAATAGTCAAAGAAAATAATTTTTTTATTTATTTTATATATACTTTGAAAAATATTATCAATTATGAGAAGTTCAAAGTAGTATAAATTAATGCGTCATAGAGAAATTTTAATGATTAAAATATTTCTTGATAATTTCCCCTATATGCAAAACTAATATAATTAACAATCAAGTATTTGCGTCACTAAACCTTATCGCCGTGCTCTCTATTTTGCTCACTGGGTGACGTTTTTCCAGTTAAATTGTGCTTACTCTCTGTAGTTGTGTGTGTGTTTATTTTTATGCTGTCGCTGAGTTGGAGTTCTTATGCGCGCTTCATTTTGTTTTTGTACACGTCGTTGTCGTTTGTATTGGTGATGGTGTGTGTCTGGCCTACGTGCAGACATAACATGCAGTCTATACACACATTCATACGTCAATAATCCCTCACTGAAAACCGGCTGCAGATAACAACAACAACTGGGAACGGCGCTTTCCTCTCTCGTTTAATGCTCAAATACCCAGTGGGAAACGGTGAAGTGCAAATTGCTTCTGTACGTACCAGATTATCACTTCCATAAATTTATATAAAATATATATTGGTATTTTAGAGGGATATTTTCATGCATGCAGTTGGTGTAGTTGTGCTTCCAATAGTTTAAGGAATCGTTTGATTATTGCATAATTTTTAAAATATTATACATATACGAAAACTTGTTGAATCCAAATACCTAAGGCAAAACTCTTAAAAAAAAGAAACAGCGTTGAATTAACCACTACAATATACAACATTTATATCTACATCGTGTAGACAAAACACCACCGTTCTCTACACGAAAAGGCAGACATATGCATAGGTAGTTTTCCTGCTGGGTCATGTTTGTGTGTGCTACTGCAGCAACAAAAACCGTCGACGGAGAGCAGAGTTTAGTATAACTCCGCACGGCCAGCAACTCACAACGCTGTCGCGGCCGCCGTCTTGTTCTGGTTTTCGTCTTTTAAGTTGTCGTTTTTTGTGTATGCATAAGAAGTGCATGTGTATTCATTTTTGTGCATTGTTGCAATCCAGGCAATTGTAATTGTTCAACTTTGTCGAAATTTGTTAATTTATCTGCTGCAAGCACCGCAAATAATGCAAATTCAACGCGCGTAAAGTGTGCACCATTTTCTGGCCGTCAGTGTTAACAGCAAAAAGTTGTTTTTCTTGTATGAAAACTGCTCAAATATTACCCGTTCACGTGGCCAGCCAAGCACATGTTTTAAATGCTGCCAGAAAAAAGCTAATTTCCAACTAAAAGAAATTCAATTTGTGTGTTTTGCGTGAAGCTAAAAGAAGAAAATAAAACGATTCAACGAGTCGTGTTTATGTATGTGCAAGAGCGAGAGAGAGAGTGAGATAGAGAGAGCGTGTATTTTGCGCTAACAGAGAGAAGGAAAGAGGGAGAGCCAGCCAGCCCAGTCGCCGCCACGCAAGTTATTCACCCCAACAACAACAACAACAGATACGCACACTTTGACAGTTGGTTCTCACGTATGTGCACTGTGATTTACGTGTGTATGTGTGTGTGCGTGGTTTGAAACACAAAAAATAAAATAAAAATAACAGCCTAAAGAGCATACAAAATAATAATATTGAAAACGAATCAACAACTATTGAAACAACAACAAGAGAAGACAAAGAGAGAGAGAGAGGGAGAGGGAGAGAGTGAAACTGAGATTGACACCAAGACTATGCTGCCATCCGGCTAATCACAGTGGGCACAAAACAAAATTGACGCTAAAAGAACAGTCAAAGCACAGAGAACGTGAACTTGGCTTGCAGCCAACAATAGAGCCAAACAACAGAAATACAAAATAAAAAGCAAACAAAAAGAAAAAGAAGCCCAAACTGTGATCTCCAAAGACAGAGAGAGAGAGAGAGAGAGAACCACACACGGAATACAAAATGATGATGATGGACACACTGGACGCCCAGCCCATGGACGTGGCGCCCGCAGTGGCCGTCGCAGCCACCACAGTTAGCAGCACGCTGGACTATACGGCCACCATGGTGAGCATGGCCGCCACGGCGGAGAGCAACAACAACAACAATCACATGGAGATGGCCGACTACAAGGAGCACCGCAAGAACAAGAAGAAGAAGCGCGAGAAGCGCGAAAAGGACAAAGAGCACCGTCACAAGCATCGCGAACATCGCGAGCATCGCCGCCATCGGGAACGCGACCGAGATCGAGAGTCAGCCCATCTGCAGCAACAGCAACAGCAGCAGCAGCCGCATCCTCATCACAACAATAGCCAGCACTCGACATCCGCCTCGTCATCGCCCTCGTCCGCCTCGACGACGCCGTCGGCCACCATCGAGTACGTTGGCGGCTCCGCCTCAGCCTCGCCCTCCTATTTGGGCGTCGGCGGCGGCACTGCAGCAGCTGTCACTGCGGTCGGAGGAGGCCCCGCAGCTACCACATACCCGCACAATTTAAAAATACGTTTCCTGCTCTCCGGGGTAAGCACAGCCAAGTCGCATAAGTCGCTCGCTCCACTCTATGTCTATGTCTATGTCTATGCCACAAATTGGCGCCAGTTGCAGCTGACAAGATGTGGCATCTGCCACGGCAAGAAGAAGACACCTTAACAGTCCACGTTCTATTTTGAGAGCTTTGTGTGCTGGAGTTTTATTCGGGATGTGTCATCTGGCGGAGACGCCAGCTGGCAGCTGATGAACAACTTCCAGAAACTGCCATTTCTTGGTTTCTTTGAAAAACTCCATAAATCCCGTTTACTTCCTTTTCAAGCATATCCGTATACCCTGTAAAGAACTGTTCTATCCCTTAAATTTCGATAGGGATAACCAAAATTCGGATCAAAATGCAGTTATAAATTTCCAGATCCCAAAAAATAAATAGTAATAGAATTATATTCAAAATAAAAGTTAAATTATGAACAGGCGATAGAATTGAAGTTAATTACGGTACAAACACATTCCAGTAAAGGATCTTTTCTATTAGCCCAATTGTATCACGAATAACACCAGAAATAGATGCAATCAGGATAGATAGAAGAATAAATTACATTATGATTAAATCAAAACAGATTTCAAAATCGGATCAGAGTTTTGAATATCCTCGAACTTGAAGAAAGTTCCTATTTTAGATACGATTTTAATCGATTTGTTGAACCGATTGTAGTTTGGTCAGATTTAGGCGCTAATTGCTTATCGATTTGTTGAATCGATTGTGCTTTTGCCTATCGATTATTCGTACTCCAAAGCTGAAAATCATTGAAAATAATGAAGTGGAGGATTATATCATATGTAGACATTTCTTGGTGGTGGTTAAAAAACGGGATCTCAAATTGGGCTACATTTCATTTTGTCCGGAAATTGTTGGTAATAAACAGAGGCAAAACGCAGGAAACTTATTTCCCGAAACAAACTATTTTATAATCAGGAAATAATAAAGAGCTGTCGTTAGAATTGGAATCTTGAAGGAATTCCTTGCCTATTATTAAAGGATATTATTATAAACTATCAATCTAACTTATGAACTGGCATTGACTAAGAACTCACTTCGTCCTTATTTAATCCTGTAATTCAAATCGGTATTTTAGCTGTTTAAATGAGGGACAACTTGTCGACCAAGGCGAACATTTTTGTAAAAAAGTGTATTGTTTTATTTAGAGCAACCAGAAAGCTAACACACTTTAAAAAACACCTCCAATGTAGAGTCCTTCGATGCAGTCCTCAATTTGCATAAGAAATGCGGGTCATTTTCCCCCTTTTCACATCTTGTTCGATTCGACCAGGTACACAGAAAAGTACATCTTTAGCACTTAATCAATAATTCGGAGTCATGCAACCGTTTGCGTGTGCTTGCAACTAGTGCACTTCTGTGCACCTGCGACCTGCGACCTGCCACCTGAGAGCAGCGGCACCTGCTACTTGGCCAAAACAAAGGCCGGCGACGGGGGGTGGGGGAACTTGCAATTATAATGCTGGGAACCCGCCGCCAGTTGCCTTCAGTGGAGCCAATTGGCCAACTGCATCTAGTCCGATTATTGATTGCTGTCTGTGGCATGTGGCATGTGGCATTTAGGGCGCTGCTTCAGGACGTTTTTTTTTTTTGTTTTGTTACCATTCCTGAGAGCCGTGTTTCTGGCCTACGTGACGCGCTGCATCAGGGGCAACTTCTTGGGATCTCGGGGCAGACAGCTGTTCGCCTTATCCCTCTTCCAGTTTTGCGCGCTCAAGGATAATGCCTGATGTATCCTGTGCCTGCAGGCGCTGCCTAGTTTACGACAGCTGCCGTCTTCTGAGCGTGTGTGTGTGTGAGTGTGTGTGTGTAGCTACCCCGAGTTTATTGTGTTTTGCTGCTGCTGCGGCTGTTGCTTCCTGGCAGCTGATTGATCCTGCCTTCGATCTTGTTACAGCTGCCAGTTGTGTGTCCCGTCTTCATATTCTTCTTCTGCCTCGTCTTGAGCCCCAGGTATGCGGGCCTTGTGTATTCGCTCTTGTTTTTGCCCTACTCCGAATCATACGAATGCCTTGCAACATGATCCTTATACACTATTTTTTATATTCATCTCAAACATAAGTGTGTGATTATTCGGATTGCGAATAAATAGTTCATTTATACATATATATATCTATACCTTGGTAGGGGAAGGAGGAGACAGATCCGAGACAGATTCGTCTGTCTAAAGCTTTTCATATATCATATAGATGACCTAGGACATTACGAGCTTAACTAATCTCTTCGCATATCTAAAATGGAAATGCAATCTAATTGTTTGTTGTTCTTCTTCTTTGTATCAATTGAACATTCCAGAACATTCTAATACCTGAACTAAGTCTTGAGATTGCCAACATATATTTTCATTGCAATTAGTTTCCATTTATCCTTTTTTTTTTGTCAATTTCCCTTCCATTACAGTTGCTTCTACTGTTGACAATCGCAAGAACAAGGTCCTGGGCTGAGTTCCTTGGGTCTCGCATTGTCCCAATCAGTTCTTGTCGTTTATTTCAATTTGGATAATTCAACAAATTTGCTGTCCTCGGGTTGTGGGTTTGTGTTTGTTTTTTTGCGGACGAGGACAACCCTTTCTGGTGCTGTTGTTTGTCCTGAGTCCTGATCGGGAGAGTGTGAGTGTGTATGTGTGAGAGAACCCTCTTTGAAAGCTGCTCAGACATACAGCAATATAATATTTATAGTTGGTATTTTGTTTCCGGCTGTCGCATTTTATTGAATTCGCAGTCGGCAGGGCTTAAAGCAACAAAGTACAACAATTGAATTATGTGCGGAAGTACAGTGTGACCCATTCGAAATGCAAAGCACGCAATCGAAAAGGGGTTGACGGTTGAATATTAGCTGCGCTGCGCCAGCAACAGGATAATCACTTTCAATAATGGCGGCCATTTTTGGCCGAACAGCTGCCGTGAACGGAATTCGTAGTAGATGACCATGAAAAGCGTTTGGCAACTTCTTTTATTTGATGTGTTTTGTCAAATCTAATGAGGTGTGAGGGGTTTAACGGAAATTCGACACTTTTATCGCATGTCCGAGGCGGCGCAGCAACAGGCTGGCCTGCCAGGTAGGTGCCAGCGCGTTAACTGATTTGTGGATTCTGATTGGAATTGTGACATTGCACTCTGCTCATATAACCAGGTGGCAACACTGTGCATAGTTTTTGTCTACGTGACTACAACACAACAACAACAGCAATAATGACTGCTACTGAACCCCCACCACCCAAATAAACAACAGTGCGCTCACGCATTCAAAAAGAGAGGGAGAGAGCGAGAGAGAGAGGGCGCAAACAAAGGGAACAGTTCGAAAGGGAATGAGCGCGACACCGTGAGAGAATGGGAACGGCTGTTCTCAGCGTCTGTTTATTGTTTTGTGCATTAGCTGCAAGCAGCATTCGCTGCTCGATCTAAAACTCTCGCACACACGCATACACATGTGTGTGTGTGTACATATCGCTGCATCTGGCAGCATATGGGAAACCACAATAAAAAAGAAAAAACTCGTCCATTGTTGCAGCACTTCTTGCCCTCGCCGAGTTTTGACAGCGGCTGCTGCATTTTTCTGACTCTGACTCACTTTATTACATGCTGCTGCCGCTGCTGCTGCAGCTGCTTTTACCGTTGACAACGACGTCGGCGCAGCCGATAAGCTTTGAGTTGCATTCTGTACACACGTCCGTTTACTGGCAGCTTTTATAATCTATTTGGAACACATGCGGCGCCGCCGTGCCCCCTTCTCAGTAAAAAGCAACAACACGAAAAATGGTTGGTTGCTTTGATTGTGGCGTCTGTTAACAGCCCGCTGTTACTGTCCAATGTTAATGTTAATCTTGTGTTTTGATTCAGTTGTTTGTTGTTGTTGTTATGCTTTATGGCTGTAAACATGTGTGTTTACATGCCGCAATTTGCGGCCGGAAGTGTCGAGAAGATTCTTAATGACCACAAAAAAACCACAGCAAATGAACAACATAAGCACAACAACAAAGGTTATCAAGAGATACCAATGGAAGATTGCATCTGAGGAAGACAAAACTTGGCAACATACTGTACACATGCCAGAGCTATTAAGATCTTTAGCCCCCAAGCACATTGGAAATGTCTATAAAGATTAAATTATATAGAAAAAGTTTGGTTTATTAGAGTATCTATCTACATTCTATTTATTCAGGCTAGATTCACCAATTTATCTGTCGTTTTACTAGATATTTAAATTAACTGAAAACTTCTTGATTTAAGGCATAAACTGTATGGAAATAACCTGTCAACGTATATTTTTGAAGTTTAACTTCAAAAACTCATGCCAAGCTAGGTTTTATTATTATTATGGCGATATGGCTACGCTTTTTATGGTGAAATAGAAACCTAAGGACTTACCCGTTTATTCAAGTTGGTGTCGAACTCACAGCTAATCAGTCGCTTCGCAAATGATCAACATCGGATTTATCAGAGAAATAGTTAACTAAATAATAATATAATATAAAATACAAAAATAATAATATAAATAAAATAAAATTAAATAATATTATAATATTATTCTTTAATTCTTTTGCAGCAACGCACAGAGTTGAGTCCACCCACGCACCAAACATCCGCCACAGCTGAGGTGAATGCAACGTTAGCGAGTGCAACAAGTGTAACGATAGCGCCCAGCGGGACGACGATAGCAGCCACTACAACGAGTACATCAACAGCCGCAGCCACCACCTCGAGCAGCAGTGCGAGCAGCCTAACGGGAGGAGCTGCCATTGGGGGCTACACGAAAATAGAGGCAAGCAAAACGAGCAGCAGCAGCAGCGGCAGCAGCAAGCATGGCAGCAGCAGCAGCAGCAAGGACAGCAGCAATGCTGCCTCAAGTGGAGGAGCTGCCACCAGCAGCGGCAGCAGTGCACCCAGCTTGTATGTCTCGGTGCCGTTGTCCACGGCCAATGTACCTGGCATCAATTTGCCCAACAGCAGCAGCAGCAGTGCCAGTGGTGAGTTTTGTTCAGCAAGCAAAATGAAGAACGGCTGTTAATGAACTGTTAATCCTCCACAGAAACACACGCATCCGCACAACACAACCAGCCACAAGCCGCACAGTCACCTCTCACCACATACGCAACAGCAGCAGCTGCTGCAAGCGGCAACAGCAGTGCGGGCGCAGGCAGCGCTGCCTCCGTTATACAAAGCCAGAGCGGCAAGTCATCGCCCTCGCTGGGCGCTCTGGTGAGCAGCAGTGCCGGAACGGGCAACCTGACAGCCACGACGACGGAGAGCGGCAATTTGAAGATCAGCTTTGAGAAGCAAACGACCCGGGTGCAGCAGCTGCAGGAGCAGGAAGCTTCGCCGGCGCGCCGCAGCAGGTAAATATTTTAGGCTTGCGAACTCACCACACCGCAAAATTCAACATGCTGCGGTTAACAGAGTGTTGCCAGCTTACAGTTTATAATTATATAGATACATATAGAAAATGTTAGTTTCGGTTCTGTTCGTTCTGTTGTTTTGTTGCGTTATGTTGCCCACGTTTTACCACCTGGTTAATTTTTTTTACAGTTTAATTTTATTCGCCGCGCAAATCGATAGCGTGCTGTGTTCCCTTATTTATTTCCTTGTATTATTAACTAGCTGTTGCACCCACCACACACACTCACACAGTCTCACTTGATGCGCTCTCTAAAGAAAATGTTACTCTCTTCTTTCTCTTTCTCTCTCGTTTTGCTTTTGCCATCACCATGCAATTAACCCAACCACAATGCTAAATCCCTTTTAACTAACCACGAAAACACGTAGATCGCGGGCTGGTGAGAGTGGTAGCCATCATCACCACCATCACCAGAATCAGCAAACTCACCAAACCCACCACAGTCAACATCAAACACCGCAACAACAGCAATCGCAAACGTCGCAGCAGCAGCAACAACAGCAGCAGCAGCAACAGCAACACCAGCTGCCACAGCAGCAATCGCTGCACTCCGCCGCATCCTCCTCCACGTCCAATTCATCACTGACCACGCCCACAAAGTCACAGTCACGTTCGGGCAAGAAGCGCGCTGCTGCGCTAAGCAAAGCCGAACCAGCTGCAGCCACAACAACAACAACAGCAGCAGCAGCTGCAGCAACAACGTCAACTACAACAACTGCAGCTGCAGCTGCAGCAACAACAACAGTCGAGAAGCTGGCCCGCAATAGCAGCAGCAGTCGCCATAGTTCGCCACAATGTCGTGCCACGCCCACACCGCCCCCAGCGCCAGCTTTACCAACGGCGATCTCGTCGCCGGTGGTTATGTTGCAGGCCCTATCTTCCTCCTCCATGGACTCGCCGCCGACTGTGGCAACAACGCGCAATACGCGCAACAACAACAACAGCAACAGTCATGTGTCTGCCACGGATCACGGCAGCTCAACATCCTCCTCGTGCTCGTCCACATCCTCCATGTCCTCAGCCAGCGGCAATGCTGTGGTCAGTCTGTTAGACTCGCCCGTCAACATGTCCACACAGCAGCCGCAGCAACATGTTGCGTGTTACAACAGAAGTGGCAATAGCAATAATGTTGCAAGCGATAATGTTGCCAGAAACAATGCTGCCAAACCGTTGAATAAGAAAATGTTACGCGCACAGCAAACGCAGCTGTATCAGCAGCAACAACAACAACAGCTGCCACCTGTTAATCTTAGCAATGCACCACCCGCTAATGCCCCCTCACCCACAAACCTTAGCTCAGTCAGTAGTCAATTTGCGCACTTGCAACAGCAACAACAACAACAACAGCAACAGCAGCAACAACAACAGCTTAAGCAACATCAAGATTTAGAAATTTTGCAATTTACTAATATAAATACAAATGCTTCTTCCATGACGACAACATCAACCACAACAACAACAACGACAAACACCAACAACAACAACAACGTTAACACTAAATCAACAACGAAATGCAACAACAGAACACCTGATCTCAACACGATGACGAGCACCACCAGCAGCACCTCGACGACCAGCAGCAGCAGCACCACCACAACCACCACCAGCAGCCTCTTAAGCATCAATCTGGGCAGCAGCAGCAGCAGCAACAACATCAACAACAGCAGCAGCAACAACCACAACAACAGCAGCAGCGGCAACAACAACAGCAGCAGCAGCAGCGGCGGCGGCCTCAAGTTCACGTACGAGGCGCAGACGATTAGCACGCAGCTGGATGTGCCCATGTTGCCGGTGAGCGCCATCAAGGACTCGCCGCCCAGTTCGCCCGGCTCGGAAATTGGCGCCGCTTTGCATACGGCTGTTGCGTCCGCAATCAATGCGGCTGCCGCTGCTGCTCCCGTCGCTGCCGGCAATGTCCGGAAGCGCGGACGCAAGGCCAAGGATGCCACATTGGTTGCGGCTGCAGCGGCAGCGGCAGCGGCCACAGCAGCTGTGGCTGCCACTCAACAGGATCTCAAGGATGTGCGTATACTGCAGAACGGCATTGGCGCCGCCAGCGCGCCGGTCAGTGCGCCGGTCAGTGCGCCCACGCCTCCAGCCACGCCCGCCACAAGCATGACGAGCGGCAGCGCCAGCGTCTCAGGCAGCAGCTCGATCATAGCGCACACGGCCAGCCATATGCTGGGCAACCATGTGAATCCCAACAGCAGCGTGGCCCAGAAGCTATCGGAGCAACTGCACATGGAGGTGCAGGATCATGCCATTTACACGCCCGACTCAATTAGCTCGCAATTTTCGGGCGTGCCGTTTCCCGGCAAGCAGGTAAATATCACATTTAATTATGCACACCTGAAGCCTCGCAACTAATCTCTGTCTCCTCCTCGACTGCAGCGCAATGCCAGCGCGACGTCTTCGAGCTGTGCCACGCCAGCGCCAAATCCGCTGCAATCGATGTTCGGCGGCGGCGGGATTAATGGCAACATGCCCATACCGCAGAGTCTGGAACAGCTACTGGAGCGCCAGTGGGAGCAGGGCTCGCAGTTTCTCATGGAACAGGCCCAGCATTTCGACAGTGAGTATGGCTAATCCCCCAGACACGAGATTCACCCAGTGCGCTTCGACTAAAGCTCTAACCCATTCGCATCCTTAGTTGCCTCGCTGCTAAACTGTCTGCATCAGCTGCAGAGCGAGAACTTGCGGCTGGAGGAGCATGTGACCAGTCTGATAGCGCGTCGCGATCATTTACTGGCCGTGAATGCGCGCCTCCAGATTCCGCTCAACAATGCGATCAACAATGCCAAAGCCGAGGCGCATGGTAAGTAGATGCCACTGCATCCACTCTCACTACTTGGTGTCGGCACATGCACTTGCTCTCCACAAATCCCACACACAAACACACACACTCACACACACACATGGAGGCGCCATTCACTCAGCTACAAACAGAATTTATGTAAATGTACAGATATGTAATACAACATTAACAGTCTATGTTATGCTTGTAACGAGCTGCTTGGCGTTGCCAGACTCCACACTAATGCTACAGCTGGCATTTTCGAATAATATCGCATTAATTATGTTAATTTAAATTTAAGTGGGTACAAGTGATTCATGTACATACACATACATAACACAACACATCTTTAACAATAAAACTATGGATGGTACAAAACAAATGGCATAATTGTTATAACAATAATTGTACAAAGCATTTACACTTACAATCAGTTTTCTAATCAATCACATACGTACTTAAAGCCAACGCTTTAAGCTTCAGTTAGGTATACACAACATTTTAGATTAATTTTTTATTAATATAACAAACAGAAACAAAAACTTACATTTTTCTTTACTCAACCTATGATTAAAATTAAGTTATCTTTTAATGCTCAAACAAACCCGAATTCTTACCTCTTTTTATTTATTTTCAAAATGAATAAAATGTGTATTATAAACCAAAACAACAACAAGCAACATCTAAATTTATTTAATTTGTGTTTTTTTTACAACTATTGAATTCTTCGTTTTTATTATACTTTGTCTCACTGTAAGCCTAGTTCGGGCATGGGACGTACTAACAGGGGCGACTACTGTTATATTTAAGCCCTGAGCTTAACACTTTTATTTGAATTTAACAGCTCTGCTAACAGAAACTGTTGCTGTGATCGCTACTGCTAAATGGTGAAACTTGTTGTGCATTTTCTACAGACGCGTATTTTGTTGCATGCAACTGAGCTACACACAAACACGCACACACGACAAACTAACAACATGCAATGGTATAAATATAACAAATCGAACAACTTTTGTCCTTTCCTCGTTAGCCTCTAGCAACAGCAGCAGTAACAGCAGCAACGCTCTCAATGCTGCCACAACAATTGCAGCAGCCGTTTCGCTGGCCACGACCGCTATAAACACAACAATACCGACAATGGCTAACAGTCGTGCGAGCAGCGCCAGCGGTGTCCTCGATTATCGTGGCAGCAGCAGCAACAACAACAACAGCAGCAGCAGCAGCAACAACAGCAACAACAACATAAACAGCAATCCCGCATCATCAAATTCCAATCCAACCACAACAACAGCGACGCCAATGTCTTCGGTTAACAGCCTGCCAATGGGGAATTCAACTAGTTTGGGTCTAAGGTGAGTTTCTTAACTGCCAAAATATGTCGCAAAATCATTGTTGAACGAACCTCTCCATCAGACACGTTGCGACGTCTCATGCGTATAACAGCGCCGGCAGCAGTAACAGCAGCAGCAATGTTAACGCTAACAGCGCCAGCAACAACATGCACACGCATCAACAGCAGCAGCAACACGCATCGTATTTACAAACGCAGCAGCAACAGCAGCAGCAACAACAGCCACAGCATTTGCATCAAACGCATCATGCCAGTGCCGCAGTTGCTGCGCACATGTTGGGCGTGGGCATGAGCCTGGGCACCAGCAGTGCTGCCGCTGCGGCAATTGGACGAGGTGGGTCAGCTACAGCGGTTGCTGCAACCACAATAACAACAATAACAACAACAACAACAGCAGCAACAGCAGCAACAGCTACATTGACAACAACCTCAGGCAGTTTGCAACATGGTGGGGCACTCGCCCACGCGCTTCCGCATTCGCATACGCACCACCCACACCACTATCCTAGCATTCACGTTCAGTTGGGTGCCGGCGGCGTTCACGTTGACGATTTGAGTAGCTCCTCCACCTCCTCCTACGCAGCGCAACATGCGCTCTACAGCACGCATCACCAGGTAGTGTGTGCGTGTGCGTGTGGGTGCATGTGTATGTGTATGTGTGTGTGTGCAAGTTAGAGCATCCAAATATTCGTTGATAACACACACACAAAATATATTCATTCAATGAGTGTTGTTTCATATTCGTAACTTTTATTTTTATGCCGCCCCATTCCATTATTATGTATGTACATATCTCACCATCAACATTCAACAACATTTCTATCAATTCCAAATCATGTGCTTTCTTTTGCTCCAAACTGCAACCGCCTTTCTCATTCCAATTATTTACTGCCACAGATAAACGCAAAATAATAATCGGTATTATAATAGTATATGGAAAATTGTTTGTTGTTTTTGTGTGCCAGCGCTGAAAAAAAAAACCAAAAAACCAAAAAAAAACTGTTACTGTTACTTACTTACTACCCGTTTACTTAACAGCTGCATCCTGATGTTAATCAACATATGTTGTTCTGTTACAGTCCCAGCTAAGGCGCGACGATAACCTCGCCAAATCTAGCTGAAAGTCATGTCGGGAGCAGCAGGCCCAGCAACCGATCAAGAAGAAGTCAACCCCGGCCAGACGTATCCGCCAGCCCGGCAATACCGGCCACATCAAATTGCCCCCCAGCACCAACAAGCCCCAGTCCCACACATACAAGAAGCTAAAACAAACGTCTGTTAACTTTCAGCAGCTGCGCGATAATCAAGAAGACGATGTAAGCATACATATCACCAGTTTTATTGGCTATTGAATTATTGTTATCTAATAACTTTCTATTCTCTATTATAGCTCAGCAGCAGCACCAGCAGCTCCTCCACCTTTTCATCGTCCTCGCAGCAGCATTCGTCGGTCGACTACGAGGCGGAGGACGAGAACGAGGATAAACAGCGACAGAGGCGTCACAAAGATGAGAACGACAGCCTTATACATGTGCAGAACTTCCTCAAATGCTTTGGTGCCAATGCCTATGCAGGCGCCACAGTGCGCGGCACAACCTCAACTGCGTCAATGGGCACCGCAACCACGTCGAAGGCGGCCACAACGTCAAATACCGAGCTGCGCAATTGGCGTCGCACTTATCGCACAACAACAGCTGCAGCTACCACAACAGCAACAATAATAACAACAACAACAGCAACAGCAGCAACAATAACCGCCATGCAACAAGCAACAGCAAGCACAGCAACAGCAACACCACAAACTCAGTTCACCAACTGCAAGCCGCAAAAATTTCAAATAAATACAAAATTTTTACGTAAGCCGCGTAACAAATTGATGAAAATGCTGCCGACAGCAACAACAACAGCAACAACAACAACAACAACACAGCAGCAACAGGTAGAACAAGAGCAAACGCAGCTATATATTGATGATTCCAACGCCAAATTCAAAGACTTTTCAATTGACTCGCTTTTGAATAAGTAAAACGTAACAAAATTAACAGTTAACAATTAGCCCTATTATTTATAGCCTAATTCTTCACACAGCCACCCGCAAACCGCGTTCCTATAAACCCCCCACTATAATGTATATTTTTTTTTGTTTAGCCAATCGTACAGGATGTGACACATTAACATAAAAATAGAATATATATATTATTAAGTTGTTTATTTATTACATATATTGGTACAACTAATGGCGCAATTCATAAGTAGCATTAGCAGGCGTAAGCATACATATGTACATATACAATTACTTAATTACAAGTTAATAAACCATAACAATGATACAATTTAAGCTATGACTATTTTGAGAACAATTTGATTTGAAACTAGACCAGCTTGCGTTTAGAGATCCCCATCAGGAGCCCATCATTTCTTGCCAGGAGCAGGCAGCGGAGACTGCAGAGCCTCGCGCACACGCAACAGCATTTCCTTGCGTACGACATCGGGCACCAAAGCACGAGCCTGGCTTAAAGGAATGTAAATACGAATTGTTACCGAATGCACCAGAGTAGTAGACAGTAACTCACATTTGGAACGATCATTGCGGCGAGCTGGTCATGTGTAATATTGGCCACTCCACGTTCCTCCAAGGTGTTGCGTATCAGTTGCTCGATTTCCTTCCGCCAGCCACAATCGTTTAGGCGCTTCTCCAGTAAATCCTTGAGTGCCATGGTGTCTCCGGTGTTCAGCGTAGCTTTGTTTACAGCCGCAGACTCGGTGCCGATGCCCGTCTCCTTGCTGTTTTCCATTATACAATTTTTTTGAACTTGATTCGTTATATCTGGTGCCTATCAAATAACAAGAAATGCTTGTATTTAATCGGCTTATTCAAAGCCTACTTGAGGGCATCGATACTTTAGTAAGATTTAAGTACTCGAAAAGCCGATGCCATCGTATTAATCGGTAATCGACCAACCACCACAACAGCGAAACATACCGAGCATTTCAAGGTATTTACAGTTTGTGTGTAAATAAAAGACAACGATGTCGTGAGTTATTATTATTTCGGGTTAATTACGCTTGCGCTTTGTAGAAATGCAGCTACCCCAGTTTAACTGAGTAACAAGCACAACAGAAACTCGTACCGAGTATATCGAAACACCAAACCATTTACACTGAATTCTGTGAGTATTCGAATGTCTCAATTGGTGGTGGAAGCTCTCGGCCCACTCGTCGCCATCATTCGTACTATTCTGTAGTAGAGGCCAAACATTTTGAACGAATGCAAGTAAAATGGAACTGCTAGAGATTAAAAGCGAAATGAGCTACCAAGAGCAGGTATATAGTATATACATATATTTATTTATTTAAAATGCCAACATTTTAAAATTATTAATTTGATTTACAGAATTCGGGATCGGAATGCACTTCTCCTTTAGACGGAACTACAAATGCCCAAGGTTATAGTCGTATCTCAAGTTTCAGGAGTAAAATAATAAATGGCCAAATTAAACTTAGGGAAAAACGCGGTCGAAGTAAGGTTTGGAATATTTTTGCCTTAATGATTGATGAAAATGGCGATGAAATTGAAAATTTTGTTGCCTGCCGAAACTGTTTCAACGTATACAAATACACGAGCTGCACCTCGAATCTGGTCAAGCACAAATGCTACATTAACTCCGAGGCAAAAGACAATCATGTGCGCAGTTCTCAAGATGTGGAAGTAGACAGTGAAACCCTAAGCAGATTAAACGATGCGGCCGCCCATTGGCTGGTGACAAATTGTCGCTCCTGGACAACACTTGAGGACTCTGGCCTCCAAAATATTGCTCGCATCTTTCTCTCAATCGGTGCCAATTTCGGTGAAAATGTCAACCTAGACACCTTAATGCCAAGCCCAACAACTATAGCATGCCATATATCCGAGATGTACGAATCCCAGCGCCAATCTATTGCTGCGGAACTGCACGAGGCCAAAAGCATCGGATACAGCATCACGTCGTACATATGGAAGGACAGCTATCTAAAGCAACCTTTTGCAGCCGTAACCGTGCACTATATCCAGAAATCTGCCATGGTTAGTCGATTGCTCGCTGTGTCCCCCTTAAACAGGGATTCAAGTACAGGTAAGGTATTGTCTGCCAGAAATCTGTACAAATTAAAAGTATTGCAAGTCTTCAATAAATTCTATTTAGTCTGGGCACAGCTTGAATTCATTTGTTTAAGCATTTCATGAAATTTTCATTCATTTGTTTTTGTAATCCCTTCCCAAGTAGAGCCTGAGTAAATGGAGTTTTTTTTATAGACTCTAATAAATCTCAAAGTTAATGCATCCCATTATCAGAGAAAACTGCGAACTTTCAACTATTTAAATTTTTGTAAAATTACCGAACTAAGACTAAACTATATAAACTCTTTTAAGGATAGTAAAAACAATACCATATATTAGATACATTTTTAGGCAGTTTGTTCTATTTGATTAAAATATGTTTTAATATCTCTCTGCTTTTGCAGGCAGCAATATCAGAGAACACATTCAAAAATGCCTGCGTGCATTTGAAGGCGACCTGGATGTGGATGATCCAATCATTGTTACGGACTGCGAGGAAGCCTCCACGCCCGCCTTGAATTGTCACCATCAGGTGCACTGCATCCGTAGTTTGTTAAACAATGCCATAGAGGAGGTTTTCAAAGAGGTTAGCGAGCTGCAGCAAATGCTACAAAAATGCATTAGCTTGGTTGAACACTGTGAAAAATCTGGCAAATTAACTAATGCGAAATCATCATCTACACAAAGTAATAGAATTTTGTACTACATCAAGTCTGTGGAGGACAACTGGCATTTGGTGTCCGAGATTTTAGTTGATAAGTCGAAAACGCCGATTTTCATCGTTGAGATTAAAGCTGTTGTCAATATTTTACTCAGCTTTGAGCAATCTGTTCAGGCCATGGTAGAGGAGACCATGCCCACACTGCATATTATAATCCCACATCTCCATAAACTGAAAAAGCTCTGTTCCAATAATCCCGAAGACATTAGCATAGCGACTATTTTGAAGAGTGCATTGAGGGGATATTTGGATTCAATTGAAACAGTTCACATAACAAAATATCATAAAATAGCCCTCTTTCTTTTTCCACCCACAAAGAAACTGCTTCTCTTTGAGGAATCAGATAAAAGGGCGACTATTGAAGAATGTAAGCGGATGATGCAGCTGTTCTATGTTGAAACCGATAATACTCGAAAAAAGATCAAACTAGATGTGGAATACTGTGGAGATGGCATTTTTTCGGACTTTCTGGAGCCAATGTCCAGTGATACGAAACTTGATATAATAAATAATGAAGTGAACGAGTATCTGAGCAGAAAGATTTCACTATCCGAATCGTTCAATGTCTTGGAATGGTGGAATGCAAATAGAGTTCTATTTCCTCTGCTCTACAAAGTCAGCTGCAAAATACTGGGTACACCTGCCAGTATTTCCCCTTCACAGCGGGCTCTCCTACAAGCCCGAACTCTTCTCAGCGAGCAGCCGAGTGCAACGCAATGTGCCGAAGACACGATCAACGAAATAATATTTTTAAGCAATAATTTTAAGTATGATTGTTAAACAGCGCTGAGTTATATGTAGCTATTAAGAAATTCAGATATTGTGATTTCGTCAGCATTATATAGTGAACCATAATAATTTAAAATCTGTAAACCAAGATCAAATGTTTTGTCTACTTTTGCAGAGGCCATTTTATTTTTATGACATTCCGTTACCATAAAGCGAATATATTTTATTATCAGTATTAACAGCCTCTCTTAATCTTTAAGCTATCGTCTTTTTGAAAGTCGACTGGATCAGAGCATTATATCACATGACTTTCATGGGAAGAAACGGGTTTGACTTTTGGTATGAAGAACTGTTTTTCAAAATATGTTAAACAACCTTAGCAATTACGAACTTCATCATACTCTTTACATATGGCCCCAAGCTCTTTATCAAAGATAAAGATTTTTGTTCAAATTCATTTAAGACGGTTCAATTCAATTCTTTTGGTTAATGAAGTTTCACGTTTCGGCCAATTGTTGTGACTTAAAATTTTTACGCGATTGTGGAAATTCCACAAACTGGTAAATTGGCAAAAAAATACGATTGTATGTAGTTTTTTATTGAATTTCACTACCGCTTCATACACAATTAAAGTATCTGAGTGATATTACAAAAATAAGTGTTTAAATGGTATTTGAATTAAATGCGAGAGCCGGCAATGTAGTGGTGTTGCCACTTTATAGGAAAAGTGGCCAGATGGGTACTTTGATTCAACGATTAATTCTTATAGATACTATCGATATTCTCTTCAAAATATCAGGCGTATAAAAGTACTCAGTAAAATGTTTGCATGTATTTGTGTAAATACATGTGCATGTATATCGTAACGATGTACCTAAATGCACTACACATATCTTATGTACAAATCATGCCAACATATACTGAAATCTTTCACTTTTAGGTTCATATCTAGTATGCTTTATTGATCAAACACAAATGTAAACATTTAATCACTATGCCAAATCCAGACTTGGTTATATATATATAAGTAAACTTGCATTGTTCCGATTTGTGGTGCTTAAAATCAATCTAAATTTGTTGCCCACTCACCCGCCCACAGAAATACGATAGAGCCGGCTCCGCGGGTTGAAGCTGTCGTCATCACCGCTTGAGGTGAACTTGAATCACACAAATACGAATTTGTCGCACATATATGTACATATGCATATCTATACGTTTACGTGTGTATGTATGTATAAGATTTTCAGATATGGTCAGACGGGAGTATGTATGTACATACATATGCATGAATGTGGGTTTTGTTCCGCTCTATTGGGTTTGCTTTTAGGCGAATAATGTGTAATCATGACAGCTGTTATAAAGCTTAAATAAAACAAGTCCCATTTGTTAGTATATGTTATTCATATTCTTCAGAAATGTAAGATACTTGATAAATTTCAATATGGATGCATCTAAGCATGTGCATACATCCATACATTTTAAAGATAATGTATATTGTGGCTTATAATAGGCATACATACATACATACTGTTAGCATGAGTGTATTCGATTATAACCTCAAAACACAAATATGGTGTCATTATAGGTACAATCATGTATGTATGTATGTATGTATGTACCTACCTACCGGCCATCTGTGCGGCTTTTTGTGCATTTCCTGTTGTTCTTCTCATTTTCTGAAAATTCGATAGCTGCAGCTGTTGGTCTGCTTCTCGAAAATTCGGCATTTGCTTGGTGAAGGAGGGAGGAGCTTACTTTTGCCATCGCGTGAGGCAACAACAAGCCGGTTCACCTAGGTTTCAATTTTATAATGGCAAAAAGCAACCCCTTAAATGATATATGTTTGTACATAAGTATATGTATGTACATGCGCACAAGCATATGTACATAAAAGGAGGTACAGGCTGGCGACAACTACCGCACAGAAATGAAGTCATCGTCTGACTGCTGACAATGAGTGTCCCCCCCCCCCCCCCCCCTCCTCTCTTTCAACTAGTTATGCTGCAGCATGACTCATCACTAAATCGATATAAGGCTTGGCCAAGTACTTATGCACTTTAATATTGAGGAACATAAAGGGGGGAGCTGCGCTAAATTTAGGTGCATGCCACGCCTAGGTACAGTCGCGTGCATAGGCTGGCAGCGGAAAACGCAGCAGACTAGAAAGCCATTCTCCACTATTAATAGAGCGCCAGGCGGTCGCTCCGCTTTCCCCAGCCACGTCGACGATTATCTTCAATTACAAGAGGCCCGTTCAGTGAACTCAAATGGAACACTTGGAAAAGAAAGATAAAAAGAAAATGCGCTCGACTTTTTCTGCTGGCAACACTGACTATTCGCTGACTTTTATTTTCG